ACCTTCTTAAAACCCTTGCTCATCTTTCATGGGGAGCTGATCGTCGAACCTTCCTCCGCCTACATTCCACCCTTATTTTATCGAAACTTGATTATGGTGACCAGATCTATTCAGCGGCATCTCCTGCTACTCTCTCTAGCCTTAACCCCATTCATCACCAAGGTTTACGTTTATGCCTTGGTGCTTTTCGCTCTTCCCCTGTCGAGAGCCTCTATACAGAAGCAAACGTTCCATCCTTATCCAATTGCCGTGATGCCCATTGCCTGCGCTACTATGTACGCTCTCATGATCTCCGCAATCCTTCCATTTATAGAATGGTCACTGATATTAGTAGACATTCTTTATTTGTTCGCCGCCCCTGTTTACTCCGTCCCTTCTCTCTTCGCCTTCATTCGCTCGTCTTCTCTTTAACTACCACCTTTCTATGTACATGTAGCATCTCACTTTTCCCTACCCCCCTGGGAAGTTCCAGCTGTTCGAGTCTGTTCTTTCTCCCTCCCTTGCTCGAAAGCCCAACTGTCTACGGTCGCTTCCCGCTCTCTTTTTCTTGACCACTTTCACTCTCATTCTCATGCCATTGCCGTGTACACAGATGGCTTTAAGTCTTCTGACGGCGTAGGATTCGCAGCAGTGTTTCCGGACAGCGTCGTACAAGGGCATTTACTATCTTCAGCTAGTATTTTTACTGCTGAATTGTATGCCATCCTTACAGCACTTATCCGTATTGCATCTATGCCTGTGTCATCATTTGTGGTTGTCTCAGACTCCCTTAGTGCTTTACAGGCTATACAAAAATTTGATACACCTCACCCCTTAGTCCTCCGTATCCAACTTTGGCTACGCCGCATCTTTACCAAGCATAAAGATATTGTTTTTTGTTGGGTCCCTGGTCATGTTGACGTACAGGGCAATGAACAGGCAGACACTGCTGGGCGGTCAGCAGTACATGACCTACCAGTTTCTTATAGAGGTATTCCATTTACGGACTATTTTGCTGCAATATCTTCCCACCTTCACACCTGTTGGCAACAACGTTGGTCTACTATGCTCGGCAACAAACTTCAATCTATTAAACCGAATATAGGTTACTGGCCTTCTTCTTATCACCAGTGTCGAGGTTGGGAGACTACTCTCTCCCGTCTTCGCATTGGCCATACTCGTCTTACTCATGGATATCTCATGGAGAGGCGTCCTGCTCCTCTCTGTGAGAATTGCCAAGCTCCATTGTCAGTCAGCCACATTCTGTTGGACTGCCCACTTTATCAACGAGCACGCAGAATTTACCTCTGTCGTCGTCTTCGCTCCGCTACTCTCTCTTTACCTTCCCTTCTCGCTGATGGACCCACCTTTCATCCGGACTCTCTCATTGACTTTTTGACAACAACTGACTTACTTCACAAATTCTGATACCTTCAGCCCTTTCTACTTCAATCTCTTGCTACCCTCTACCCCCGTACTATCCCCTGCCCCGCTGTTTTCTGTAACCTGCTGATCATCCCTCCTCCCTTCTGCCATCCAATACCCTCGCTTCCTTCCCTACCCTGCAGCGCTGTATAGCCCTTGTGGCTTAGCGCTTCTTTTTGATTATAATAATAATACAGTTAGAATAAGAGGTAGATGGGAAAAGAGGAAGGTGGCAACAACAAGTAAGAGGGAGGTGAAAGTGTATAAACTAAGGGAGGAGGAAGTTCGGGCGAGATATAGCGACAATTGGCAGAAAGGTGGGCTAGTGCAAAGATGAGTAGTGGGGGGGTTGAAGAGGGTTGGAATAGTTTTAAAAATGCAGTATTAGAATGTGGGGCAGAAGTTTGTGGTTATAGGAGGGTGGGGGCAGGAGGAAAGAGGAGTGATTGGTGGAATGATGAAGTAAAGGGTGTGATAAAAGAGAAAAAGGTAGCTTACGAGAGGTTTTTACAAAGCAGAAGTGTTATAAGAAGTGCAGAGTATATGGAGAGTAAAAGAAAGGTGAAGAGAGTGGTGAGAGAGTGCAAAAGGAGAGCAGATGAAAGAGTGGGAGAGGCACTGTCAAGAAATTTTAATGAAAATAAGAAAAAATTTTGGAGTGAGTTAAACAAGTTAAGAAAGCCTAGGGAAAGTATGGATTTGTCAGTTAAAAAACAGAGTAGGGGAGTTAGTAGATGGGAGATGGAGGTATTAGGTAGATGGTGAGAATATTTTGAGGAACTTTTAAATGTTGAGGAAGAAAGGGAGGCGGTAATTTCATGCACTGGCCAGGGAGGTATACCATCTTTTAGGAGTGAAGAAGAGCAGAATGTAAGTGTGGTGGAGGTACGTGAGGCATTACATAGAATGAAAGGGGGTAAAGCAGCTGGAACTGATGGGATCATGACAGAATTGTTAAAAGCAGGGGGGGATATAGTGTTGGAGTGGTTGGTACTTTTGTTTAATAAATGTATGAAAGAGGGGAAGGTACCTAGGGATTGGCGGAGAGCATGTATAGTCCCTTTATATAAAGGAAAAGGGGACAAAAGAGATTGTAAAAATTATAGAGGAATAAGTTTACTGAGTATACCAGGAAAAGTATACGGTAGGATTATAATTGAAAGAATTAGAGGTAAGACAGAATGTAGGATTGCGGATGAGCAGGGAGGCTTCAGAGTGGGTAGGGGATGTGTAGATCAAGTGTTTACATTGAAGCATATATGTGAACAGTATTTAGATAAAGGTAGGGAAGTTTTTATTGCATTTATGGATTTAGAAAAGGCATATGATAGAGTGGATAGAGGAGCAATGTGGCAGATGTTGCAAGTATATGGAATAGGTGGTAAGTTACTAAATGCTGTAAAGAGCTTTTATGAGGATAGTGAGGCTCAGGTTAGGGTGTGTAGAAGAGAGGGAGACTACTTCCCGGTAAAAGTAGGTCTTAGACAGGGATGTGTAATGTCACCATGGTTGTTTAATATATTTATAGATGGAGTTGTAAAAGAAGTAAATGCTAGGGTGTTCGGGAGAGGGGTGGGATTAAATTATGGGGAATCAAATTCAAAATGGGAATTGACACAGTTACTTTTTGCTGATGATACTGTGCTTATGGGGGATTCTAAAGAAAAATTGCAAAGGTTAGTGGATGAGTTTGAGAATGTGTGTAAAGGTAGAAAGTTGAAAGCGAACATAGAAAAGAGTAAGGTGATGAGGGTATCAAATGATTTAGATAAAGAAAAATTGGATATCAAATTGGGGAGGAGTAGTATGGAAGAAGTGAATGTTTTCAGATACTTGGGAGTTGACGTGTCGACGGGTGGATTTATGAAGGATGAGGTTAATCATAGAATTGATGAGGGAAAAAAGGTGAGTGGTGCATTGAGGTATATGTGGAGTCAAAAAACTTTATCTATGGAGGCAAAGAAGGGAATGTATGAAAGTATAGTAGTACCAACACTCTTATATGGATGTGAAGCTTGGGTGGTAAATGCAGCAGCGAGGAGACGGTTGGAGGCAGTGGAGATGTCCTGTCTAAGGGCAATGTATGGTGTAAATATTATGCAGAAAATTCGGAGTGTGGAAATTAGGAGAAGGTGTGGTGTTAATAAAAGCATTAGTCAAAGGGCAGAAGAGGGGTTGTTGAGGTGGTTTGGTCATTTAGAGAGAATGGATCAAAGTAGAATGACATGGAAAGCATATATATCTATAGGGGAAGGAAGGACGGGTAGGGGTCGTCCTCGAAAGGGTTGGAAAGAGGGGGTAAAGGAGGTTTTGTGGGCGAGGGGCTTGGACTTCCAGCAAGCATGCATGAGCGTGTTAGATAGGAGTGAATGGAGACGAATGATACTTGGGACCTGACGATCTGTTGGAGTGTGAGCAGGGTAATATTTAGTGAAGGGATTCAGGGAAACCGGTTATTTTCATATAGTTGGACTTGAGTCCTGGAAATGGGAAGTACAATGCCTGCACTTTAAAGGAGGGGTTTGGGATATTGGCAGTTTGGAGAGATATGTTGTGTATCTTCATACGTATATGCTTCTAAACTGTTGTATTCTGAGCGCCTCTGCAAAAGCAGTGATAATGTGTGAGTGTGGTGAAAGTGTTGAATGATGATGAAAGTATTTTCTTTTTGGGGATTTTCTTTCTTTTTTGGGTCACCCTGCCTCGGTGGGAGATGGCCGACTTGTTGGAAAAAAAAAATTTTTTTTTTTTTTTTTTATTATCACACTGGCCGATTCCCACCAAGGCAGGGTGGCCCGAAAAAGAAAAACTTTCACCATCATTCACTCCATCACTGTCTTGCCAGAAGGGTGCTTTACACTACAGTTTTTAAACTGCAACATTAACACCCCTCCTTCAGAGTGCAGGCACTGTACTTCCCATCTCCAGGACTCAAGTCCGGCCTGCCGGTTTCCCTGAACCCCTTCATAAATGTTACTTTGCTCACACTCCAACAGCACGTCAAGTATTAAAAACCATATGTCTCCATTCACTCCTATCAAACACGCTCACGCATGCCTGCTGGAAGTCCAAGCCCCTCGCACACAAAACCTCCTTTACCCCCTCCCTCCAACCCTTCCTAGGCCGACCCCTACCCCGCCTTCCTTCCACTACAGACTGATACACTCTGTGTAATATGGCTTTTATGTAAAATGCTCTGTCTGTAGTTTAATGTAGGTATGAGAAAGTTTCTTCTGATTTTTAATGTGTTAATGCACCCACCTTTTTTTTTTTTTTTTTTTTTTTTTTTTTTTTTTTTTTTTTTTTTTACACAGGGTTTTACAAGGTTAAGTGAAGGGTTCCTAACTTTATTGACAAACTTAGAGCTGCTACCAACATCAGCTCATTTGAATGTCATTTTTATTATTATGAAACATATAAATAAAAAACATGATTAAGTTGGATTCATCTGTAGGCCAACAGTTTCATTTAGTGAATTGACTTTATTTCATTGATGTCATTATGCTGTACAAAAATGTTCTAGACATGCGTCATCCCTTGCTTCATCTTATATCTAATATATTGACCTTTACTTGACTGGACAATTCACTTCACAGAGTACCGGCGGATAAACCAACAAGTAGACAGACTATCAAAAGCTGTCAACATGCTTCCTCCTGAAAATTATGATACACTCAAGGTTCTTCTTCAACATCTTCTTAGGTGAGATCTTTTTTTTATTTTTTCACATGCTGTTGTAGGATTACTCAAAAAGGGAATACAACAGGTACTTATATTGTAATCCACATAATTCTTCAATTTTATCACTTGTTCCCCTGCTTTATTTTCATAGTTGATCATTTAATATGATGATTATATCTGTTGACGAGGTATCAGATAGATTTATGAATGTAGCGTTAGTTCGTTCAGCAGAAGTGTGTGGTTACAGTAGAGTGGGTGCAGGAGGGAAGAAGAGCGATTGGTGGAATGATGAGGTATAGGGTGTATTAAGAGAAAAAGTAATCAAATGAGAGGTTTTTACAAAGTAGAAATGATGCTAGGAGGGAGGAGTATATGGAGAGAAAAAGAGAGGTTAGAGAGTGGTGAAGGAATGTCAGTGGAGAGCAAATGAGAATAAGAAAAACTTTTGGAGTGAGATTAAATTAAAAAAGCCTGGGGAATGAAAGGATTTCTTCATCTTTCAATAAACTGGCTATTTCCCACTGAAACAGGGTGGCCCAAAAAGGAAAATAAAAGTTTCTCCTTTTAACTTTAGTAATGTATACAGGAGAAGGGGTTTCTAGCCCCTTGCTCCCGGCATTTTAGTCACTTCTTACAACACGCATGGCTTACGGAGGAAGAATTCTGTTCCACTTCCCCATGGATATAAGAGGAAATAAACAAGAACAAGAAATAGTAAGAAAATAGAAGAAAACCCAGAGGGGTGTGTGGATATATATGCTTGTATATGCATGTGATCTGCAGGTGATGAGGGTAACAGAAAATTTAGGTCATGAAAGATTGAATATCGGATTTGAGGGAGGGAGTGTGGAGAAAGTGAATGTATTCAGATATTTGGGAGTGGATTTGTCAGCAGATGGATCTGTGAAAGTGAAGGGAAAAAGGCGAGTGGTGCACTGAGGAGTCTGTGGAGAGAAAGAGCGTTATCCATGGAAGCAAAGATGTGTTGAAAAAAAAAAATTAAGCCATTAAATTTAAAGAACCCAAGTGTCTTACTGATATGCTTGTACCTCTCATATTGGGCTAGGGAAAGTTTCTATGAATTATTGTGGACACACTCAGACTGAGCTCTCTTCTTTTTTTTTTCTAGAGCTTATGTTACTCATGATAATAAACTGTAGTATTTTTTTTTTTTTTTATCCTAGGTGTTGTATTTATGGTTTGATGTATGAGTGCTTGTGAATTTCCTAAAAGAACAGGCGCCTAAGAAATACAAAATTCCAAAATATCCATTAATTATTATTATTGAATCTGGCAGGCAGCAAGCTAAGGGTAGGGCCAGGAGCTAGGTGAGTACAGTGGACCAGTGGTGTCTGAGGACTCATGTAAAGGTGAGGTAGCACTTGGCCATATGGCAGTCCAGGGCAAGACGAGTGTTGGCTAGATGGTCAGATTCAGATTCATTGGTCTGATTGAAGTCAAATGATCTAATAATTTGAAAAATCAGTGTATCAAGAATCTAGAATCTAAGCAGTACTGTACATCCATGACTTAAAATGAGAAATAAGTTATTTTCTTGATTCTTCTTTTGAAGATTTTTCCCTTAGTTGCTGTTTGAACAGGCTTAGCATTTACCACGTATAAGAAGTTGCTGTATATAAATATTTGTTATACTATTCAATCCTTTAATCCCCTATAAACTTAAGATGTTAAAGACTTCATAGCAGGTATGGAAGTTTACTAAAATATCTTTATTCTAATTTATTTTAAAATTGAAGTGAAATTTACCTTTCTTCTTTACTAAGAACAATCTATTGATAAATTATTTTTTCCTAAACATTAATACTCCTGTAATTTTCTTTCACTTTTTCTGCTGCGTGTAGTTCATATTGCTGCTATAAACATGAAGAAATGGCAAGTAAAAACATTAACATACTTAATATTTTTTTATCTCCTGTACTTGCTTTAAGGTTTAAAAACAATATGTATATTGTTATGATAAATTCTTGGTATTAATTGAAGAATTTAAATGTTAAAAAGGTGAAATTTGTATGCTGCAAACATTGCCAAATGTTTATTATGAACCACCAGATTCTCTACTGTTTACCCTAATTTCTTCTCAATTAACAGAGTAAGTGAATTTGAAAGCGAAAATCGGATGAGCATTTCAAACCTGGCCATAGTGTTTGGACCGTGTCTTTTGTGGCCACGAGAAACATCGTCCCACGATCTCATGACGGACGTCATGCTTCACAATCGTGTCATTGAAGGACTTCTCTCAGATTTCTCGAAGATATTTTCATGTAAAAGGTGATGAGTATATGTGTAGTGTTATTATTCAGTTCATGAAGGTTCCTTAAAAATTTACCTTTCAAGCATGGTAGAGGACATGTACTAATACAATCATTGCTAATAAGTACTGTCAAACATTATGTTAGCTTTATTATATAAAATTACATAATGCTGTTAATACTGCTGTTATGAATAAAAGGCTGTGTATGTAAAAATATATCACAGATATACATACATCATCATCAACCATCATTGACATTGACTCAGAGCAACCATCATTGTTGCTTAACGGTCACTACTATTGACATTTTCATTCTCTCTCTCTCTCTTTCTTTCTTTCTTTCTCTCTTTCTCTTTCTCTCCCTTTCTCTTGCTCTCACCCACTGACACTATATCTGGTGTTCACTGAAAACTGTGGAATAATAGTCAGTCTGGTGAAACTGTTCATTTTATTGACAAATGGTTCATAAATCAGTTTGAAGTACAGTAGACCATCGATTAAAACAGTCATATAGCAGTATGATTTTCGATTACCGCACTATATTGATTATTTAGTATTGAGTAAATTTAGGGAAAAAAATAGCTAATACAGTGGAACCTCTACTTACGAGTTTAATCCGTTCCATGACCTTGCTCGCAACTGGATTTGCTCATTTGCAGAGTCAATTTTCCTCATTTAAATTAATTGAAATGCAATTAATCCGTTCCAGTGGAATTCTGTACTTCAATAATTTAGCTAATATCAACTCTACGGCTTATTTATCTATCTCACTTCATCTAATATGACATAATAAACAATATAAATAACATAGAAACCTGATATATACTCTAAAATGAATAAAATGCCATTTATGTAGTGTTATGGGCAGTGTCGGCGGTGGACGAGAGTTTGTCAGGACGCCGGGCAAAATACTTCATGAATAATTTTGCTAATATCATCTATACGGATTATTTATCTATCACAGTTCATCTAGTATGACATAACAAACAATATGAATAACATAGAAACATGATATATACTCTAGAATGAATAAAATATGTCATTATGTAACAGGTGGAGGCAGCCACATCCGCTCCCTCTTTGTTGTGGTAAACACTGCCATCTAGTGACGGCCTTTTGAAGCCGTCTATTACAGGTCCGCCATCACAAATCCGGCAATCAGTTATTCGGCACTAATTTTGGCTAGCATAATTTCAAATTTCCAGGGTCGCCACACCAACCTGCTGGTGCTGTTTGGTGGTGCTACTTGCTGCGTAAGTCATTCCAATTTCTTTTTCTCCATTTATTGTTTTAACCTGCTTACTTTTAGCCCTAGCCATGGTTCCAATGAATAAAAGAAATGCTTCTCATTATGTAAAGCACCTACATGGTACATTATCCATTAACCCTTTGACTGTCGCAACCCCCAATCCTGAGGTGTCTCCTGGTGTCGCAAAATTTCAAAAAAAAAAATTATTTTTTCTTATGTAATGATAGAGAATCTTTTCCCGATTGTAATGACACCAAAAAAACGAAATTTGATGGAAAACTGACGGAATTATGCTCTCGCGAAGTTAGCGACCTCGGCGATATTTACAAATCGGCGATTTCGCCCACTTTGAGCCCTATTTTCGGCTAATTCCATTGTTCCAGTCGACCAAACTCATAGCTATTTCTTTAGAACTCCATTTTTTCTATCGATTAAGTACAAGAAACTGCCCATTTACTGATTTCAACTACCCAATAATGTGGTCAGAAATTTGCAATTTGGCCAATTTCACAAAAATTAAAAAATATGACAATTTCAAAATAAGGTCCAGAATGAACAATGCAGACATTCCTGGCTCTAAAATAACATTTTCTTTGTTCATCAGTCATGTCTCCAGGCCCCTCTGATATTACTCTTGCTTTCTATTTTGAATTTTTATTCAAACAAAAAATAGAAGATTTACTGTTATGCAGACTACTGCAATACTGTAATAATTGTATAAATAACATCAACCCATTCATGACTGCATATTAGAATGGCTAGTTGGACATTTATTGGACAATGACATCATTTGTTTACTTTTGAACATTGGCAAAAATCAAACATTTCCCCTACTTTGAGCTCCATTTCCAGGTTCTTTTTATAGTAAAATCAATCAAAATCACCTCTACTTCTATAATATGTTTTCCATTCTATCAAATGAGACCAAGAAAATGAGAATACAACGATAAATACTATACGAAAATAGACCACAAAGTCGGCATTTTAATTAAAAAAAATGGTCGGAGTTTTTTTTTCTTATTATGCACTGCGTGCTCCAGGATTTTTTTTATATGGTGCACACTGACCACACAGACCCATTCTCTCACATGTGGGCCTACCAGCTATCGCCTGCTTGATTTGAAGCCGCTAGAATTTGAGTATATATAAGTCAAACACGGTACCTCGTAAGACGTATATATACGGCCGCGACAGTCAAAGGGTTAAAGATAAGGTGGCTTTGAAGCCACTGTCGGTTGTCATGAACTCAGTCTCATAAGCAAGAGAATATGCTTTATTATTATGCTAATTTCAACACTACAGCTTATTTCCCTATCACAATTGATCTAATATGACATAATAAACAATATAAATAACATAAAACATGTTAAATACTCCAGAATGAATAATATTTGGCATAACACTGAGCAGTTCAACGGAGGTATGAAGAGGATATGATATACAAATACCATTCTCCTATCCTTGTCTTGGTGGCTTATATTAGAGAAAACGGAGTGTAGCACAGGGCTAACTGTCATATACACTCGTACTGCACCATAAACCTGAAACAAAAAAGTTATTTTCTCTCTATAGATTATCACACACAGCATCATATGTGTAGAGAACCTAGGATAACCCAAAAAGAGTCAACGTGGCATATTTTTAGTACCTGGCTTGGGTTAGCCACATATGATTTTTAGTAAATATTCGATTCCCAGCCAGGGTAGAAACATTAGGCATGTTTCTTTACACCTGTTGTCAATGTTTACCCATCAGTAAATGGGTACCTGGGTGTTAGCCAACTAGTGTGGGTGTTATCCTGGGACACTGACCTAATTTTCTTGAAATATTCTGCATAACAAGCGGCTTTCTATACAGTAGTATGTCACTGATGTCAGCTAGGCCTGTATACCTTGTACATGTACGTGTAGTAAATCAAGATATTATTATTATATTATTTTCTCAGTTGTTTGTTGGGTTATCTTATTCAAACTTGGGCAATGTATGATGGAAAGATACTTCTTCACATACACCAAAAATGAAAGAAATCAGACCATAAATAGCGGAGTTCACTTCTCAGCCATTAGCGGCTGCTTAGCGGTATATTTTTGTATGGTTGTTATGATTATTTTCTCATTTTTTCGGTCTCATTTGATAGAATGAAAGATATATTACAAAAATAGATGTGATTTTGACTGCTTTCATGACGAAAAGTACCTTGAAATTGCGCTCACAGTAGCGAAAATGTTCTATTCTTTAGTGAAGCTCAAGAGTAAACAAATGACGTCACCGTCCAACACCTGTCCGCCTGCCAGTCTAAATTCCAATACGGAGTCAAGAATGGCTTGACAATATTTATACAATTATTACAATAATGCAGTAGTCTGCATAACAGTAAATCTTCTAATTTTTTGTGAATAAAAATTCCAAATGAAAAGCAAGAGTAATATAGGAGGGGCCTGTAGCCATGACTAATGAACAGAGAAACTGTTATTTTAGTGCCAGGAATGTCTGCATTGTTTATTCTGACCCTATTTTGAAATTTGTGTGAAATTGGCCAAATTGCCAATTTCTGACCACTTTATTGGGTAGTTGAAATAAGTGAATGGGCAGTTTCTTGTACACAGTTGACAGACTAGAAGTAAATAAGTTTATTCAGGTATACACAAATACAGTTACATAGATTATCATACATAGCAGTGTATGTATAGAGAACCTAGGATAACCCAGAAAAGTCAGACAAAGTGATTTATTTCCAGTACCTGGCTTGGGCTTGCCATATTTGATATTTGGTAAATATTTTTTTTTCTCGGTTGTTTGTTGGGCTATCTCATTGAAACTTGGGTAATGTATGATGGAAAGATGCTTCTTAACGTACAACAAAAATAAAAAAGACGGACGATAAATAAGGGAGTTCACTTCTCAGCCATTAGCCGCCTCTTTGCAGTATATTTTCGTATGGTTTTTATGGTTGTATTCTCATTTTTTTGGACTCATTGATAGAATGGAAGATATATTACAGAAATTGACATGATTTTGATTGCTTTCATGACGAAAAGTACCTTGAAATTAAGCTGAAAGTAGCGGAAATGTTCGATTTTTGCCGATGTTCAGTGAACTGTGTAAGTCAAGTTGGTTAATTTTATTTAGTGTATTCTAACCTAACCACTCTGTAATTCGGCAAAGTCAGTAATCCGGCACACTACAGGTCCCAATGATGCCGGATTTGTGATGGAGGACCTGTATTGTAATTATTATATGTAGTACATTATTATTATTATATATGTATTATTATTATACATATATTATTATTATTATTGTATTAAACTATTATTATTATTATACGTATTGTTATTATTCATATTATTATACATATTATTATTATTATTATCATTATTATTATTATTATTATTATATAAATTATTTGTAATTTTTATTCACACAAAAAATATAAGATTTACTGTTATTCCTTATTGCAATAATTGTATAAATATGTCAACCCATTCCTAGGTTAAGCTCAATTTCAAAGCACTTTTCGTCATGAAAGCAATCAAAATCATATGTTTTTTTTTTTTTTTCAACAAACCGGCCGTATCCCACCGAGGCAGGGTGGCCCAAAAAGAAAAACAAAAGTTTCTCTTTTTTAAATTTAGTAATTTATACAGGAGAAAGGGTTACTAACCCCTTGCTCCCAGCATTTTAGTTGCCTCTTACAACACACACATGGCTTACGGAGGAAGAATTCTGTTCCACTTCCCCATGGAGATAAGAGGAATTAAACAAGAACTAGAAAGAAAATAGCAGAAAACCCAGAGGGGTATGTGTGTATATATACGCTTGTACATGTATGTGTAGTGTGACCTAAGTGTAAGTAGAAGTAGCAAGACACACCTGAAATCTTGCATGCTTATGAGACAGAAAAAAGGACACCAGCAATCCTACCATCATGTAAAACAATTACAGGCTTTCGTTTTACACTCGCTTGGCAGGACGGTAGTACCTCCCTGGGTGGTTGCTGTCTACCAACCTACTACCTACAAAATCATATGTATTCCTGTAATATATTTTCCATTCTATTAAATGAGATCAAAAAAACGAGAATACAACCATAAAAACCATACAAAAATACCACTAAGGGGTGGCTAATTGCTGAGAAGTGAACTCCATTATTTATGCTTAGATTTCTTTCATTATTATTATTATTTTTTTTTTTTCAACAAGTCGGTCATTTCCCACCGAGGCAGGGTGACCCAAAAGAGAAAGAAAATCCCCAAAAAGAAAATATTTTCATCATCATTCAACACTTTCACCACACTCACACATTATCACTGTTTTTGCAGAGGCGCTCAGAATACAACAGTTTAGAAGCATATACATATAAAGATACACAACATATCCCTCCAAACTGCCAATATCCCAAACCCCTCCTTTAAAGTGCAGGCATTGTACTTCCCATTTCCAGGACTCAAGTCCGACTATATGAAAATATTATTATTGTTATTATTATTATTATTATTATTATTATTATTATTATTATTATTATATTATCATTACATTATCATTATTATTATATAAATTGTAATTTTTATTCACACAAAAAATATAAGATTTACTGTGACGTCGTTTATTTACACTGAAACAGCCAAGCAACGGACCATTTCTCAGCGGTTGAGCTCTATTTCAAGGTACTTTTCGTCGTGAAAGCAATCAAAATCATATCTATTTCTGTGATATATCTTCCATTCTATCAAATGAGACCAAAAAAACGAGAATACAACCATAAAAAACATTCGAAATTACCACTAAGGGGTGGCTAATTGCTGAGAAGTGAACTCCATTATTTATACTTAGATTTCTTTCATTTTTGGTGTATGCTAAGAAGCATCTTTCCATCATACATTGCCCAAGTTTCAGTAAGATAGTCCAACAAACAAATGAGATACAATTCCTGAGATCAAGAGCAAGAGCCCCTCACCAGTGTCAAGGAACCTACCTTGAGGTCTGCTTGCTTGTGGAAATTTTGCTCGCGTATGGAAGCAAAAAATTGACCCATCGACTGCTCGTATTTGGAAAAACTCGCACGTGGACACGCTCGCAAGTAGAGGTTCCACTTTATTTGGTAGAAGGCGGCTAGTAACTGTTAATTTCATTGGAACTATAGTACACATTCTTGTGCCTTTAAGAGTCATTCATTTACTTTAGGTGTATTTATACTAATGTTGAGTATGGTGGTGATTGATGATAAAGTGTGAAAAGTAATTGAAAGAAATGAAAGTATAATCTTATGGCACTGCCATTAACGTATCTGTATGGAGTTGATAGGTCCATCTCAGCATATGCCATTCATACTTGAATTGCTTAACACCATGAAAGTCACAGGCCTAATTAACAAATGTGACTGAATTTACTTTTTTCCTGCATACCAGTCAGTACATAGTGTTTTCTTATCTTGCATCACCAGAGCTGAAATGTGAGGATGCTGAATGTAATGTGTATTTACCCAATTGAGAGGGGACTCCAATTTATATAGTTACATCTGCAATAAGAGAAAACTACATATAATGTGCATACAATACCTAGTGTGTGTACATTGTGCATCAGTTTGGTTAAGTTTTTTTTGTTGATGAGTTGCATATTCTGAGTTTACCTGTCCATGAGAGAGACTGCCACCAGTATTTGTTCTCTTCTTTTGCATAATTGGGTTAAAAATTAGGAAAACCTGGATATAACATATACTGTACAGTATCCAGGTCATATAGTATACCGCCCATCAGTTTTGTTGATAAACTTTTTTTTTGTGATAAAGAATGATGTATGAGGTTGTTGGTTATGTTTACATCTGCTCATCCCTTCCACCATTCATTTCTCTCGCCCTCGGCTAATTACTATTATTTTTATTATTGAAAACGAGAGAACTGGTCCTGTTTTAATTTTTTATTTAACTCTTTCAGTGTCAGTCCCGTACTTCTATTCCATGAGCTCAGATCACTCAGATAAGCTATGAGTGGTAAATTTGGGACTAGATATGAGAGAATGGATCTGTGCTGTAAGTGTGCACTATATAAAAAAATTCCTGCAGCAAGCAGTGCATAATAAGGACAAAAAAAACTGTGACCATGTTTTTGGTTTTTAAAACCCTGAATTCTTGGTGTTTTTGTATGATTTTTATGGTTGTATTCTCAGTTTGTGAGTCATTTGATAGAATGGAAGATATATTACAGAAATAGACATGATTTTGATTGGTTTCTGGACTGAAAATAGCTCGAAATTGAGTCAATATAGCGGAAATGTTCAATTTTTGCTGATATTCCAGAGTACATAAATGACATCACTTGTTCAGTACGCATCCAACTGGCCAGTCGTATACCCATATAGGAATGCACTGACACTATTTATACAATTATGCGGTAGTCTGTATAACAATATATCTTCTGTTTGTGTGAATAAAAAATTCAAAATGGAAAGCAAGTGTAATATAAGAGATGCCTGGGGATGTAACCAACAAACAGAGGAAATGTTTTTTTAGTACCAGGAATGGCTACATTGTTTTTTCTAGACCCTATTTTTAAATTTGCATTTTTTTTTTAATTTTGTGTGAAATTGGCCAAATTACTGATTTCCAAAATTTGGAATTCATTACCAGTAAATACTAAAGTAACCCGATCTGAACATCAATTTAAGACTCTTCTCAAAAACCACTTACTCACCCTAAACTAAATACTCAGTATTTAACTTTAACAAAAAATCTCCCAGTTACCTAAATCTTAAAACTTCAAAACGTGATGCCCAAAGTTCATACATTGATTAAAACTACCTTGTAGTATAAATACCTACCCAAAACATTACTACCCAATTGTAGCATTCTCGTACTGTAAACTACTTTCAACAACTCACGATGTTATATTCCCATAATATAATTTCAATATTTACTATTGAAACTATTGTAATTTGAGTAAAATTACTGTGTACTATAAATAAACAAGATGTACAACTTAAACTATGATCAATTTCTTTAGTATTTTGTAGTGTGTAAGCCATTAAATTAAGTCTGCCCAAAATGCCTAAGCATGATAGTGGCTCTTTGCACTGCAACTCATTTTTGTAATTTCATAATCTCAGTGTAATCTTGCAAGGAAATAAAAATTGATTGATTGACTTAATTGGGTAGTTGAAATAAGTAAATGAGCAGTTTCGTGAACTCACTCGATAGAATAACAGGAATACTAGTGAAATAGCTATAAGTTTGGTCGACTGGAACAATGGAATTGGCCGAAAATAGGGCTCAAAGTGGGCGAAATCGCCGAGACTGCTAACTTTACAAGAGCTTAATTCTGCAAGTTTCCCGTCAAATTTTGTACTTTTGGTTACCTTCGGAAAAAGATTCTGTTATTTCATAATTTTTTTATTATTATTATTATTATTATTATTATAAATTCTTTGATCCTGATAGCAAGTTTGAGATCAGGGGTCTCGACCCTCAAAGGGTTAAGTAATATTATTAACTTAAGTACTGTAGTATTATTAACATCAATGTATTGCTGTCTATAAATCTTGTCTTATGGACAGTAATACATTGATGGTATTTTTACTGATATTAATAAGTGATCATGGTTGGTGTAGTGGCAGATGATAGTTAAAGAACTGCATATCATATGTTGATACAGCTGTTAGTCAGGGCCACATCAACCCTCCACACACTTCTAGAGTATCAAGCAGTGACTAGCTAAAATGTAAGGAATGGAAAACTTCACTTTTTTTAGTCTTGATGAATTACAAGTCTTAAAAATTGCTTGGCATTCTTGGGGCACCCATGTCATCCTATTTTTTCCATGTGTTTTTCAATTTATTGTATATGTTTTTTTTTTATGCAAAATTTTCTGGAACATAACTTCCATTTTAATTGATGGTCTACTGCATTTTAATAAATAGTATTGCCTGTTACAGACAACTTGATAATGCTTGCCACATAAATGCAATGTTTTGCATTCTTTGTATAAATGTAGTTTTAGGGAAAGCATTAAGGTTTCTTAAGGGAACAGTTTCCAGTACTGCATTACATTCCATAATAGCATTCAAGAGTATGTGAGGTACTGTTGTATATAGTTATTCTATTCCAAACTGTAGAATTTCATGAAATATCTGTTTTGTTTTGTACTACATGTAACTATTTTTTTTTTTATAAAAAAAAATGTTGATGAAAAGACAGTTTAAGAATTGACTTATGTTAGCAGGAATTTTCTCTTGCCTTTATCTGTAAATACAGGTCTCAATATTGTAAATCTAATGTCTTAATTATAGAGGAGACACGCAGGCCTTGTCTGACCCCATCAACCAGTAGCATGAAGCTCCATTGCTAAGTCAACTTTGTATATTATTTCTCTGTATTATTTGTATATGCATATCAAACTGTATATTTTGAATTCACAGATGTTTTATAAATGTTGTATAATAGTTTCATTCCTTATCCATAGATGGGGCATAGGTTAAATTTATGATGTAACTTAGCATTATTGATGGTAAGTTTGGCCTCAGTTGAAGCCCAGGGATTTGTATATACAGTATATCATCCCTTTGTTAGGTGATGTTAACAATTTTAACCACCAAAATTTGTAAATAATAAGCATTATTAATGAATCTAATGTGAATGTTATTATTTTATAAATAATTCATATTTTTTATCTATTATAGTGGACTTGTGCCTTATGAAACGGTATGAGTGTCTTGTAAACACAGTGGTAACATTCAATAATGTTTTAACCATTACCACCATTACACTAGTTTGCAAAATGATACACCTCATACGAGGTTCCTTGATGCTAGTAAAGGATTCTTAATCTAAGGAATTTGACCACTGCTCTAATTCCTTGAATCAGGCCTGAATGTCTTTCATTCCACCAGGTGCTGTATGACCTAAATGAGTTTGGAATTCCACCCCTCCCCCATGAATGTAATAATTGCGAAGAAGTATAATGCTGCCTGTGGTATAAAGTGCCTTTTAATAGCCAAAGTTAAAGGGATGGGTATCGTTTGTTGGCTTCTGTCTAGCCAGGGCTTAAAGGATATATTTATAGCATAGAGTAGCCGCCCTAAAGGCGCCAGCTTCGTTTCACTATAAATGATACCTCTCGTGAAATGTTGTCATGAGACTTAGCAAGTACTCAGTGGCTAACGCGATGGTCTGGAGTTTTGAGACTCTCTGATCGCGGGTTCTATCCCCGTCCGTGGTATGGTTTGTTTGCAGTCGTGTCATTATGATTTCGTGAGTCATGTTGACGGCTTTGAGGGGACTTGAGCTAGAGTTCATCACGGCCACGCTAGCTGGAGATTAGTCTGTAAAAACTTGCATTTGTGGTCACAGTGGTGCCTGTGCTAACCTTCCTATGGTGTAGAAATATACCTAGTTGGATGAATCTTATTGTGGATAGCTGGTCCAGTGGCTAACGTGACAGTCTGGAGTTTTGAGACTCTGATCGCGGGTTCTATCCCCGTCTGTGGTATGGTTTGTTTGCAATCATGTCATTACGATTTCATGACTCAAAGGATTTTATGTAAAAATATTTTAAAATAATTTTTTTGTTTGTTTTATAATTTTTTTAAACATGCTGGTCATGTCTCGCTGAGGCTGGTTGATCCAAGAAAGAAACAATTTCACCATCATTTACACTATCACTGTCTTTACAGAGGTTTGCAGATACAACAGTTCAGCTGTCCCTCTAAACAGCAAACATCCCAGACCCCTCCTTGAGAGTGCAGGCACTGGACTTCATATAGGACTCGAGTCCGGCTAACTGGTTTCTCTGAATTCCTTCACAAAATATTACCTTATTCACACTCCAACAACTTGTCAAGTCCAAAAACCACTTAGTCTCCACTCACTCCTATCTAACACACACATTCTGCGGCCTCTCCCACAACTTTTCTAAACTTGATCCCATCAATCATCAAGATCTACATTTATATCTAGGTGCTTTTTGCTACTCGCTTGTCAGGAGTCTGCAGATACAAATGTTTCATCCTTGAACGATTTCCGTGATGCCCACTGCGTCCGTTATTTTGTCCTCATTTATGACTTCTCATGATTCTTCTACATACAGGATAGTAACTGACATTAGTAGAGGTCCATTATTTGTTCAACGCCCGTTTACTCTGACCCTTTTCTCTTCATCTTCACTCTTGACTTCTCTTCACTTGCCCCCTTTATATGTTCATCCAGCATCTAACTTTTCTGTTTACCTCTGGGAGGTTCTGACAGTTCATGTATGTTCTTACCCACTACCATGTGGATTTATCAATTAGCACGCAGAATTTACCTCTGACTCCATCACTGTTCTACTGCCCTTACTTTATCTCCGCTCCTTGCTAATGGACCCTCCTTTAACCCAGATCTCTCGTTGACTTTTTGACAGCAACTGATTTACTGTACAAACTTGGATGATGATGCCTCTAGCACTCCTCACAGCCCTTTCTACCTCTCCCTCTTGCTACCCTCTACCCCTTCACTATCTCCTGCCCTGCTGCACTGTATGACCTAATAATAATCTTTATCCCTCATGCTACCCAATACCCCTGCACCCTTCCTGCCCTGCTGTGCTGTATGACCCTTGTAGGTTTAGCACTTCATTTTTTATTATAATCCAATTTCAGTTTGCCATATTCTACTGGACTGTCCTGTCTTTCAGCAAGCACACAGAATTGACCTCCTGTGTCGTCACCACTCTAACACCCTTACTTTATCTTCCCTCCTTGCTGATGGCCCCACCTTTGGCTCAGACTACCTCTTTAACTTTTTAACAACAACTGATTTATTACACAAACTTTGATAATGTTTCCTTTACCACTCCTCACGGCCCTTTCTAACTTGACCTCTATTATCCTCCCCACCCCTGGCTACTCTCTTCTCCAGCAGTGCCCCTGCCCTACACTGCTGTCTGACTCACATGGGTTTAGTGCTTGGTTTTTATTATAATCCTATCTAACATGCTCACACATGCCTGCTGTATGTCTCAGCTTCCTCCCTCCCCTAAACACACACATGCAAAACCACCTCAACCCCCTCCCTCCATCCTTTCCTAGGACAACCCCTACCCCCCCTTCCCTTCACGATAGATTTATACACACTTCAAGTCATCCTATTTTGCTTCATCCTCTCTAAATGACCAAACCACCTCAACAACCTGTCCTCAGTCCTCTGGAAAATGCTTTTAGTAACTCTGCACCAAAAGCAAAATAATTCATTGCCTCTTTTTAATTTTTTTTTTTCAACAAGTTGGCCGTCTCCCACGTCATCATTTAACTTCATCATTCAGCACATTCACCTCAGTCATACATAATCACTGTTTTTGCAGAGGCACCCAGATATAACACTTCAGAAGAATATATAGAGATATATAACATATCCCTCCAAACTGCCAGTATCCCAAACCCCTCCTTCAAAGTGCAGGCATTGTATTCTCCATTTCCAGTACTCACCAGTTTTATAAAAAAAACTGCTTTCCCTGAATCCCTTAACTAAATATTACCCTGCTCACACTCCAACAGCTCTTCAGGTCCCAAAATCCATTCGTCTCCATTCACTCCATTCGCTATCTAACACGCTCACACACTTGCTGGAAGTCCAAGCCCCTCGCTCACAAAACCTCCTTTACCCCCTCCCTCCAACCTTTTCGAGGACGACCCCTACCCCGCCTTCCTTCCCCTACAGATTTATATGCTCTCCATGTCATTCTACTTCGATCCATTCTCTCTAAATGGCCAAACCACCTCAACAACCCCTCTTCAGCCCTCTGACTAATACTTTTATTAACTTGACACCTTTTCCTAATTTCCACACTTCAAAGACTCTGCATAATATTTACACCACACATTGCCTTAATAATACTTCTACCTCATTCTGCCTATACAGTAGTTGGTTTACTTGAAACTCACTGTTGCTACACTTAGAATACATAGATTTTCCACAAAAACCCATACCACTGTCTATTTCTGATTTAAAGACCTAACAGCTCCGTCCACTGCATTAACCAGTGCTCCAACCCTAAATCTAGATAAGTGAACCCCATCCTTGGCATACATGTCATTTCTGTCATAGAAGAGGTCTCAGTTGTCTATGAATGTTACTGCATTTTCCTTAGTGTTTGTCCAGCCAGCAGTTGACACCAATTGCCCTGGACAACAATTCATTTCCAACTCCTCTCCTGGGCAAAATGCCACATATCACAGGGTTCCCACCCTTCTTCCTAATTATCTCTATTGCTGTCCTATACCTGCTAATCAGGTCTTCACTCCTACGTCTGCCAACATCATAGCCTCCCGCAGTGAGGCAGAAAATAGGATTGCTACCATTACCCCTCATGATATCGTCCAGATGGCTAACAGTACTCCCCATCCCAGCCCCAGGAAAACATACCCTCTGCCTCCTCTTCCTGTCCCTAACACAAACAACCCTGTCCATAAATTTCACCTGACTGTCCCCAACTAAAACAGTGTTCTTACCTTCACTGGTGGAGTTTGTAGTGATGTTCTCGATGGTCTTTGTTGGGGTTTCAGGGGATGTCAACTCGCCTTCCTCTTCCTTGGTGTCGTTCGTCATGACATTCCCAGTATTTGACTCGCATTCATCGGGTAGTACGGAGAATGAGTTCGATGTTTCCACAACAGTTTCCACAGCAGTCTTTCTTCTTCATCGTTTCTACCTCTTCATTCGTCTTCTTGATCTTCAGCTTAGTTTCATGCTGTCCGGCCATTGCCCAGGTTCCCTTCCTGACCTGAGGACTCAACAGGAGGACTACTATGAATCCTCTTGTTTTCCTTTGTCAGTCACTGTATCTCAAGCTTGGCTACCCTCAATTCCTCCTTAGGCTGCTGGTAAAGTTGCTCAATGGAGGGCATCTTGGTTCAATCCACAGGGAGTACACCAGACACGTCCTCACTGAGCTATGTACAGGTCACCACTGGGC